TGAGAATCTACAATGTAAATAGTCATGAAAATAAAGAAAACGCATTGAATGAGAAGGTGTGTCCAAACTTTTGGCCTGTACTGTATATATATATATATATATATATATATATGTATGTATGTATGTATGTATATATATATGTGTGTGTGTGTGTGTGTGTGTGTGTATATATATATGTATATAGTATAACACATTGTTGTTTTGATCTTATTATGGGATTTCTTGACAACAAATAAAGTTGGACACCACCAGGCTCAATGATTAAGAAGTCACCTGATGTAAACACGTCTGCTGATTAGTAAAGTCAGATGTGTGCGAGAAGGTAATATATATTTTGGTGTGCCTTTGCTCACCCAATGTCTCATTTGGAATCATAAGTTGTCTCAAGTAGATTTTGGATCTGTTTTTGTCCAGCTGTCATTTTGTGACAGCTGAACAGAGAGGTGTGCCCGGTAAGTTGGAGTCTGATGTCACCTGGCTTGAGGATTTAGCTTCTCTGTCTTTATTGTTCTTTGCTTTTGACAAATACAAATACAAGATTATGTTATTCTTTCTTGCTGAAGCAACAAAGGAGAAACGGGAAAAAAGTGATGGCAGTGGCACATCTCAGACATCCTCTGATAAACCCAAGGTAAGTGTTTTCCAAGATGCGTCACTGGCTATTCAACATCTGATTGATTAAGTGGAATTCGTCAAAGACTGGCAAAACTATTTAATTTTTAAACTGTCAATCGTGTTTCCAAGGCAGGTGACGATGAGGAAAGAAAGAATGAGAAACAATTCCGAGTAAATAAAATGGAAATCTTGATGAAAGAACTGGAAGGATTGTTGAAACAGGATGGTAAAGCAATTTTCTTTAATGACAAGGCTATGTTTCCTGATGTTTTTAGTGTCTTCCATACACTAAAATTCTCCATATGTTTCACTACCTTTCTTTACCTGTTGCAGGATTGAGTTTTCTGACACCAGTAATTGGGTTTTACTGCCAGAAATGTGAGGAGTTTATTGGAGATTTGAATAGTGCTGAAAACCACGCAGATGTCCACCGCCATAGTGGCTCCAGCAGTGTAAGTATAATTCCTGTTTTCCCATGTGTTGGTATTTTTATATTTTTATCAACAACAAGTTCCATGAAAATACCCACACCAACAATTACTAACAAGTATTGTGTGTATCCAAAGCCAGCTATAGCTTCTTCCTCTGTGGCACTGTTGTCTAAGACCATTAAAAACACATCAGTAAAGCACTATTCGGACGGGATTAGTTTTACATGGGCACCTGGGGTAATGTCACTTTGCCACAGGACGTCAGTAACATTAATGGCCGATTCGCATGGGATAAGAAATATCAGTAAAACTACCACAAGTGGGAGGGGTAAATCCATTCACGCACCGCCGTGCCCTCCTGCCGTCATGTGCGTATGATAGGACTGTCAAAAGCACCATGAAATTGAGTTCGAATATTTTCGAATTAATTTAGCAGAGTTCGAATAATATTAGAATTTATTAGTAGTAGTAGTAGTATTAGTAGGCTATTAGTATTACTATTTTTTTTTTTGTTTTTTTTTTTTTACAAAAAAACCCCACAAAAAATAAGATGCTTATTGCTGACGCAATATGAATGTGACACTTGGATGAAAACACCCGTTCTGACCTCACTATAGTGCCAGGTATGACCAATTTCTGCCTCGCTATCTGAGCAATGTTTGGATATTTCAGTGCGTAGTTTTCCACCACAACAGTGGATCCTGGTCGGCTCGTAGTGGTGTCTCATTCTGGTAACGTTTCATCTCTTCTTCAAAAAGGGTAGGCAGGGAGGCAGCAGGTGCAACACTCTCCCTGTATGTCTCCCCGAACAGGTCACACATCGCGGACAGCACAGTGGGTGGTGTTGGCGCAGCGGGCTCCTCCGTCGGCGCCTCTCCCTCCCTCTGCGTCCCGAACGGGATTCGCCGTGATATACAACATTATTGATAGTATTAATTAATTATCAATGATATTCAAATTATCAAATTTAGGTTCGAACTTATAAAAAAAAAATATATATTCGAATATATTTCTAACTTCGATTTTTTTTTTGACAGCCCTAACACACATATTTGCTGCTGGTCTATTCGCACGGGATCAGTATTACCTGAGGTAATTGTCCGGGACCCTTTTACAGTAGGTAAAAGTCGCGGTAATCTTTACTGACATCGTGCGATAATGATTACTGACATGGCACATTCGGACGGGACTAAAATCTCTGGTAATTATTACTTTACCCCATGTCCCTATATAAAACTAATCCCGTCCGAATAGTGCTTAAGTCACACCATTGCACTGGGCGACATCATGAACACCCACGCTGTAGTTTATTTTAACACAGTCCCACATACATTGTCCTGCTGACACAGAGAACACCACCCATTGGACTTTGGACTGTGTTCCATAGACAGGGTTGGGAAGACGAGGGTAACCGAAGTGAAGCACAGATTAAATGGTCGCACATCGGCATCAGCTGATATTTGCCTTTTTGACTGCCATCAGCCTGTCGGCAAGTAGGATTACATTCATTAATGGCAGCGGGCATTGTTTTTCTGTTGTGTCAAATCAATGTTGTGCAGGCTAAAAAACAGGGCTCAATGTTTACAGCACCCGTCATCTCAAGAAAATTAGAAAACATTTGGGAAAAACAGATCTTACCCCGGATGCCTTGGGGATAAAAGGATGCAGTAGACTCACCATCAATGCATTCTTTGTTTCCCTGGCACAAAAGGGGACATTAATCACAACAAAAACAAAAAACATCATAAATGGTTTCAGCCAAGTGTTATTTTAGGGTGCTTTTAGACCTGCAGTTTGGTTCATTTGGTCGCACCAGAGGGAAAAAATGATACATTAGCCCCATTTCCACCAACATTTCCAGGAACTTTTCTTACCAGGAATTTATTTACCTGGGTAAAAGAATTCCTGGTAATCTGTGTGGTTTGCGTTTCAGAGTTCCAGAAAATGTATTCAAATCAGGCCGATGACGTATATGATTCGGCGTGTGTCGTATATTCAGCTCCGCCAGCTTGTTGGCTTGTAACATGTTACATTAGTGCTGGTGGAGAGTAGAGGGGCTGTTTGTCTCAGCCAGCTGCTAAGTTTAAAAGTATTTTAAGATAAGTGTCAAACTAAGTTAGTCTACATACTAGTGCTGCACAATTTGAGAAAAATATGCGATTGCGATTTTGTCGGATAATACCGTGATTTGCGATTGTGATTACAATATAATAAATAAATGGTATCATGAGTCTTCTCGCTTGATTCAGTGTTTCCCCTACATTATATTAGGGTTGCACTGACCGGACATAGTTATTGTTATGGACAGTGTGTAAATGACCATCAACAGACTGCTGTTATGCACAGTCAAACACGCTGCTCACACAGCAGCGCAGCACGGCACTGTACATACACTCAGTTGCCTGTGTTGCGTTCAGGCGTTGTCACCTAAATTACAAATTCCAGCGAGTGAATAGGCCGTAACACAACACAGCAGCATGTCAAGTTGGACGAATCCCGAGCAAAATTGCTCAGTTTTTCATTTGTTATTATATAGTTTGTTATGGAGTCTGTGATTTTCCTGTGTCTCTTTGAGGTCTTGTCATATGGCGTGACACTTATGGATGTTTGCGTAATTGTGCTTTGTTGTTGTTTTATGAGGCTCTGGCGGCTTTCAGTTGTCTCTCTTGTCTTTAACGTTACATGGCTCGGCTTTCTCTCGCATGCATTCTTCCTACTTTTCTTTGTGCTGTCTCAAGTGCTGATATAGACTGGTCGTGTTGCATGGGACGTGGCGACTTTAAAACTTTTGAAGTTTTATACAGCACATCTTTCTGTTAAATGTTGCCGTACATGAATCCAAAGTATCGCCATATAATAGATGGGGTTTTTTTTCGCTACCAACTCAGCCTGTTCATGGTCGTGCTCATGCTCTTCTTCAGCGTCGATGTTGGACACTGCTAATCCTTGAATCATTCGTTCATTTTTTTTTCAAAATAAAACCAAATTTGAAAAAACAAAATAATGACTTGTTTTTTCAATATTTGTTTCCAGACCCAAAATGAAAAAACGGATAACGACTCATTTTCCGATTTCCGATTTTCTGTTTAAATGGAAAATGGAATAAACGGATAACAGGCTGGGATTCAGGCCCTTTATACACTTTCAATATTTTCATCTCTCACACATTGCATGACCCGGAAGCCAAGTTTTTTTTTTTATTTTAATTTCTTTATTATTATTATTATTATTATTATTATTGAAGAAATATATAAAGATATCACACAAAATATTGAGACAAAAACGTTACATCAGTGAATAAAGGCAAAAAATAAATAAATAAAGGAGGCTTGAGGTACTTGTATAAAGAGATCTGTGGAGGAACTTTTGAACTTCGCAGAGGAGCGCTCCATTCTCAACTGCTTGTGGCCTAGTTATGAGTTTATCCTTGTCTTTATTCAAGAGAGTGGTAAATCAGTTTGAGAGCATTATTTATTGATTTCACGTTCAGATTTTGTAATATTGTCCCTCAAACCCTGCCCTCGCACTCAAATAGCCTCTGCTTGTGCTTAGATCTACTCTGTTTCTGCTCAAACTGTGTGCTTGCACTCAGATACCATGTTGCTCGCACAGATTTCCTGCTTGAGCTTTGGTTTTTCTCCTGCTTCTGTGCACTTGCGGAATTTCTGCTCTCAGATTTCTGCCCTGCCACTGCCACTCCCACCCCCCAGGGATTTATTAAATGTTCTTCTATTGCTTTCTTTATGACTTTTGGCATAAAGGGACTGTTAATTTACACATGTGCATATACAGTACAGGCCAAAAGTTTGGACACACCTTCTCATTCAATGCGTTTTCTTTATTTTCATGACTATTTACATTGTAGATTCTCACTGAAGGCATCAAAACTATGAATGAACACATGTGGAGTTATGTACTTAACAAAAAAAGGTGAAATAACTGAAAACATGTTTTATATTCTAGTTTCTTCAAAATAGCCACCCTTTGCTCTGATTACTGCTTTGCACACTCTTGGCATTCTCTCCATGAGCTTCAAGAGGTAGTCACCTGAAATGGTTT